TTTATCTCATCTGATCCTCACAGTAGCCCAGCAAGGTAAGTTATATTATTATCTCCATTTTATAATTGAGAAAAGTGAGGCAGACAGATTAAGTGCTGCGCTTAGGGTTACACAGCTATTAAGTATGTGAACCTGCATTTGAACTCCAGTTTCCCTGACTCCAGACCCAGTGCTCTGCCACCTAGCTGCCTAATACTTGGGTAGATAGATAGATAGATAGATGATTGGATAGATAGATGTATACATGCGTACATTCATATATATATATAAAATGTGTGTGTGTGTGTGTGTGTGTGTGTGTGTGTGTGTGATTGAATTGCTGCCCAAGGAGCAGCCTAGTTAAATATGGAGACTTATCACTAGCTTCTGTCCCTAAGTAAAAAAAAAATTCAGTCTTGAATTTTTTTATGAGTTCCATGAAACATTTAAAAATAAAAATACAAAATAGTTCTTAGTTCTAGGTTTGCCATTTTCCTTTTTTTTTTTTTTTTAGTTTTCAAAAATGTTTTTATTATGAATTTGATAAGTATCAACAGACATGAACATTTCAATATACAAGGAACACCAAAGTTGTGGGCCTAGGTGATTAAGAAGATAGTGCTTTCTTCAACCATATTAGGGAACTTCTTAAGAGGGAAAGTTTTCAGGGGAATGTTGAGTTCTGTTTTAGACATAATGAATTTGAGATACCTGTGATACTTCCACTTTGGGATGTCCAAAATTGACTTGGTAATACAGGATTCTAGCTCTGAAGAGAGACTAGGGCTGGATATAGAGATTTAAGAATCATCTGTATAGTGATAATAAATCAAACTCATGAAAGCTGATGAAATCACCAAGTAAAATATAGTATAGAGCAAGAAGAAAAGAGGGCCCAGGGAAGAATCTTGAGGAATGCCTATGGAAAGTGGACATGCCATAGAAGAAGATCTAGCAAACAAAGGAGCAAGCAGTCTTACAGACAGGGAAAGAACTCTCTGTTGGCAATCTCAAGATGGGTACGATAGAGTTTTTCCATTGGAAGACCTGTCTTTCGTTTCCGTGATTTACAAGTAAAATATCAGCAAGACAAATTAATGTTTATAGATGGTGTAAATACCATGTGATTCTTAGCTCTGCCCCTTCTTTCACCACTATGCCACTGCCGTGGGAGGGCCACACAAGATTAAGAACTATTTTGTATTTTTCTTTGTTTAATTGGTTGCCAATACTAAATAATTCATCAGTTGCTAGCCTACAAGTGATTAATTCTTTATACTTATCTCCATAACTTCTTGAAAAGTAGACTCAGTCTGTTGCTAGAACCATATTGGAAAGCCTTTCTAGCATGGTAGAACCTGCTAGGGCTTATGTTATAGTATCATAACCTCCAGGTACTAAAGGACAGTGTCACGCTATGAGGAGGCACTGGAATAGAATTTTGTGGATATCTTAAAATGTCATTGCAAAACAATTCACAATTCTCAGCCCAGCTCTGCTCCTACCTAGTCACATGATGCAGCATAAGTTATTGACCTTCTCTGAGCTTCAGTTTTTAAATGTGTAAGATGGGGATAATATCTGTTCTGATTGCAGAGGCACCATGCTCTCTCTGGTGGCTATGGGATTGACCTTGGAGTTAGGGAGACCAGGGCTCCAGACCTATCTTGGACACAGACTTGTTGTATGAAATTGGGACACTCCCTTAATTTCTCAGGGTTCTTAGCAGCTCTCTCAATGGGTTGTTGATCTGTTTCAGCAGAGGGAGTTTCCACAACATGGATATCCCCAAGATTCTCTAAATAATAATGAAATCTTAGGTCAGAACTGAAAGACAAAACTTCAGCAACCCCCAAATCAGATACGTGTTCTGATTCCTTTGTGGAGTTATTTAACAATAAGAATATTTATGGAAACAAATGCCATATTGAAGTAAGTTAATCTTGTTGCTAATCTTTTTTTGTAATTTGAGTTTAGGGAGTGATGCTTATTTCAATCCAGATGTTATTGATGCCCCTAAGAAGCATACTAGCCTCCTTATTAATTTTGAGCATAAAACAAGATAATCCGTGGGAGAAAATATTGAAAATCTGAAAACACTTCACATTTATGAACACTTATTATTAAACGCACTTAATTAGTCCCATTTTAACTGATATGGATTTTCTATTACTTTATATTGTTAGTACAAATTCAGAGTGGATGGACTGGTTCTGTGTAAAAGATTAGACTGTTTACCTTTTATTCATTTTAAATATGTACATTTATTCATTTTAAATATGTACATTTGGAAATGTGTCAGTTTCTCTATTTGATTAATAAAGTCATTTTCAGTAGTAAATACTAAGACCATCAAATCACCATCTCCCTCTTGCAAAAACTTTTTTTCCCCTTGATTACGATTATCCTTTTAGTAAGATAGCTAGCATCATCATTTTTCAGTCAGTCAAATTTATAATTGTCATCTTATAGTTGTTCTTATTACTGAAATTATCATGCCAAAAAAAACTATAATCAAGCTCTTAAAAAAAGATAGAACTAGACTGACTATTCAGGAACTTAAAATAGCCATAACATGTAAAAAATGTCATAGCTCTTTTTCTGGTTTTATATTTTCCAAATCTCCCCAACTTGCTAATAAGCCTGCTATCTTACCTTGCGTAGGACTTTCCCCCATTTCATTTTTTAATTTAATAGCATTTTTTTCAGTTAATTATCATATCTTTTCCTCTCCTTCCTACTTCCCTAGCCCTCAACTGAATGAGAAAGAGATAAAGAGGAAACCTTCATAACAAATTTGCATATTGCAAAGCAAATTTCTTCATTTGTCTTATCTAAAAATATACGTCTGATTTTGCATTTTGAGTCCATCATCTCTCTGTCAGGAGGTGGGTAGCAAGCTTCAACTTGGAATCATACTACCCAACCGGAATCATGGTCTATCATTGCATTGATTGGAGTTCTAAAGTTCTTTTTCAAGACATTAACTGGATGAGACTTTTGTTGAATCTGATAAATATACTTATCTCTTAGGTAAATTGAAATTGCTTTAAATGTTTTGTTGAAGGGAAAAAAGGTCAAAGACTTAGTGTCAGAATTGGACAACCTTAAAGACTAATTGGAAATCTTGTTAGAATCATAAAATCTAAATCTGGAAGGAACCTTAGAAGTTCATGGTTGAATTTTACTAGTAACTCATAGGAAAACATCCTATTTTAAAATAAATGATCTTAAGTAAGCACTGTAGGATATCAGGGTGTTTTTATATTGCTCCTTTGATCCTTATATAGACAGCAAATAAAATCCCACCAATCCTGTCACAGTTTCACTTCATCCAATGCAGGTTTCGCTCAGGTATCTGCCCATAAGAAGCATATATTCTACTTGTAAAGATAAAATACACATGAGAGATTAGAATCAGAAAAGTCAGAAAAAAAACACACGTACAACAATACTATATTCTGTTTTTTAGGCATAAGTCTACTAGAAGCCGTTTGATTTAATTTAATAGTATTCTTTTCTCTAAGTATTTCTCTCCTAGAGAGAAAGATGTCCAAACTAGCATAGTTCATTCCCCCATGTCCAACAACATTTTCTGTCTCCTCCAAGACTATTTGAAGTAACATTTATAGCAACCTTTGCCAATGAAATGATCACACAATATGTTAAAATATACTTTGGAGTTAGCATTTCAGAAGAGTCACTACTCATTTCTTTCCTTGACCACTCCCTTCTCAAGGATTGAAAGGATATCTCAGTGATCTCTCCATTCCCATTTTTTCCAGTTGAATCTTGGTAGAATAGAAAGGGCCCTTGTTTTGGAGTTGGAAGGCCTGTGTTCTAATTGTACTCCAGATGCTTACTAAGGGAGTGATCTTGGGCAAGTCAATTAACTACCTTGGACCACAGTTTTCCTTATCTGTAAAATAAGGGGTGGGCGGTGTTGGACTAAATATCCTCATAGGTCATTAGAGGTCAGCTCTAGATATATATCCTAAACCTTATTCATCATTTTAAATACCTTTACCTCCATGAAGTCTTTTCATATCTCCCTCCAATCAGTAATGATCTTTACCTTCAGACCCCACATATCACATCTTTTTCACAGAATCTAAAAACTAGAAATGAGAGAAGTGTCATGTGGTTGGTAAAAGAGTTGCCCTTACAGTTCCAGCACTCAGTTGAAGTATTGCCTTTGACATATAAAGGTTGTGTGACCCTAGCAAGTCACTTATGCTCTCATGGCCCCAGGCAGCCCTTTAAATTTATAAAGCTGCCTAATCTTTGCCAATCTGCATTTTCCTAGACGAAGTTTCCCTCTACCAACAAAATCATAGGTCTGGACCGAAAAACTTCACCATATGATCAACCAAATAACAATGACAAACAACCTAGAAAGAAAATTAGAGGCGCCTAGTTCAATGAGTATCATATCTATATTGGTGTCATATCTAATCCCTGCCAAACTGTTAGCTCCTTCAGGCTAGTAACCCTGGCTTACTGAAGCTTTGTATCTGCCCAGTTTTATATCTCTTCCAGGGTCCATTTGGCATGTAGAATAGTGATATGGATGTGATTATTCTTGCTGTATCTCCTAAAACAGATTCTGTTGTTGTGGGGTAGTTCTGATTTTTAAAGAATTTACTTAAAACCGGGGCAGCTAGGTGGCACAGTGAATCCCCTGGATTCAGGAGGACCTGAGTTCAAATCCAGCCTCAGACACATAACACTTACTAGCTGTGTGACCCTGGGCGAGTCACTTAACCCCATTGCCTAGCCAAAAAACAAACAAAAAAAAAACAACAACAAAAAAAGAATTTACTTAAAACCTACTTTCCTGTAACTTCTATCCATTGGTCCTCATGCTATCCTTTGGGGCTAAATCAAGTTCCTTTTCACCTTCAAACAATTAGAAAACAAATTACATGCTAAGTGTCATCATTTTCTAAAGTTGTGATAGACCTTATAATGCTTTTAACCAAATCTTTGTGGTCCCCCTCCCCACTTTTTTTTTAAAATAGAGATGATGAAGAGAAAAAAAAATCTTCAGAAGGAACTGATGAGAAGGCTAATGGAACTCATCCAAAGACCATCAGTCGCATTGGCAGCACCACTAATCCTTTCCTGGACATTCCTCATGACCCAAATGCTGCTGTTTATAAAACTGGATTTCTGGCTCGAAAAATCCATGCAGATATGGATGGAAAGAAGAGTAAGCAATTTTATTTATTGTCATTTTCACATTATCCATATGTCAAGTTTCCATGCTCGGGATTTGGAAGGAATTAGAGCTTTGCGCTTTTTTCCATTTGAGGTAATAGAAGTCAGCCATAGCCTATCAGAGAGTGTAAGCTCTGTATTGTAAAGGCATGAACTATTTATATGTCTTTGTATCCCCCTCAGGACTTAGTACAGTTCTTTATACATGATAGACACTTGCTAAAGGCTTATTGAATTGAATTCATTTCAATTTAATCAAATAAAGGTAAGTGATTTTCTTTTATTCTCAAGTGGAAAAAATGTTTTTGAAGGTGTATGAAAGTGTATTTTCTATTGGAATATCTGCTCTTCTCCAAATATCATCACAGAATGTGTTTAAAAATGATTTTTATTCATTTTATTGTTTATATAAATGTATTATTTATAAATTATTTTAATAAAATTTGTTAATATTATTTATTTTATTTTTTATTTTTACATTACGTATGTTCATAATGATGTCCTTGCAGTAGACTAAACCAGAAGATAGAGTATAAAAAAAGTTGCAGGTAAATGCATCATTTCCAGGTTCTCTTTGCCTTACTGAGAAATATTTTAGATTAAGAAATAAAAGAGGCCAGTAGTTTAGAGATCACTCAGAAGTCCCCATCATATATCATTTCTCCCTGTATTCTTCCCCCTTTGTCTTCCCTGAGAACTCTCTCTTATATCAAAGAATTTTAGCATCATAGACTGTTAAAAGGTTGAAGGGATTTCAGAGGCAATCTAATTTTAACCTTTCATTTTGCAAATAAGGAAACTGAGGCTTAGTAAGATTAGCTGATTTGTCCAAACACTTATTTAATAATAGATCTGGCCCTAGAACCCAACCTTGTTGATCTCCGGTATAGGGTTCTTTGCACTGCTCCACATTTTGCAGTTTAAAAATGGTGAGAATAATGGCAAAGAAAGACAATTGCATTATTAGTTTCTGAAACATCTGAAAGAATCCATGGAATTTGTCTTTGCCAATTATTCCTATTAATTTCTTGATGCAGTATTTGTTCCATAGGCACAAACTCTAACTGTTGTCCAGTGCTCAGTGGCTCCTGAACTGAGCCTTGAGGGAAGCTGGGGATTTGATTACTTCTTAGGGAACCTGGCAGTAATGATGATCTGAACACTAATGCATTTAGGCAGTGGGGATTTATTTATGTTCTCTGGGTTCAGTGTTATTGATTTGTTTGGTGAAGAGCTGTTCTGTTTTTTACATGTGTGTAAACATGGCCAGATGTTGTTCTGTTGACAGGTACTGCACATGTATGTGATTGGTAAATGAATATTCGGGTCAAAGCTCTATGGAGAGATTATTTTCTCATACAACGCTGATTAACTTGTCTCTAAAGGACCACTTTGGCTATCTTAAGATTTGATATCTAATTTTATTTCTCCTTTAATATTTGTTATGAGGTGAGAGGACTCAGTTGTCAGGTTGTAGCTGTGATTTTTTAAAAACATATTTAAGAACCGTGAATTATAAAAACATCATATTTATTTGTTTGTTTTTTTAAAAAGATTTGCTCAGCTTAAAAATTTTAACACCCTGAGGCAAATCATGATTAAAGGAACAGGTTGGATCTCTCATAGAGTAGCAGTATTTATCAAGCCCATTAAATTTGACATTTTGACAATGTTTTGAAAAGTTAAATTAGGAATGCAAATGTACTTTATGGATTGTCAATTTAAAAACAACCACCACCACAATTTTATAACTTACCTAAGTCAGCTGCTTTGAAGTGAGGGACAGCAGTGGGTGTGGTGGTACATACCTCTAGCCCTTGCTGCTAGAGGTTAAGGAGGCAAAGGCTGGTAGATTCACTGAGTTGTGGAGTTCAAAGCTGCATTAGGGCTAATTCTGACACCAATATGGCGAGCCTCCTGGAGCAGAGGGTCACCTTAGTATGAGTGAACCAGCCCAAGTTGGAAAAATTGAATAGGTTAAAGCTTTTGTGCCTGTTAATATTGGGATTCCAGCCCATAAGTGGATACTACACTTCCAGCCTAGATGAGATAGAGAGACCTAGTCTCTCACAAAATAAAAATAGGGGCAGCTAGGTGGCGCAGTAGATAGAGCACTGGCCCTGAAGTCAGGAGGACCTGAGTTCAAATCTAGCCTCAGACCAAATACTTGACATGTACTAGCTGTGTGACCTTGGGCAAGTCACTTAACCCTGATTGCCTCACTAAAATAAATAAATAAATAAATAAAAATAAAAAATAAAAATAAAAAAGGAAACTAGATGAAGAGCAGCATAGTTGCTCTGCTATTTAATACATTTGTGACCTTGGGCAGGTCACTTAAACTCTCTGTTTCCCAGTTTCCTTATGACCTTTAAGGTCCCTTCCAAATCTGTATCTATAACTTTTTATTATCCTGTGACTAAAGCATCTGTGGAATTCCAGTGAATGGCCTAAAGACACACGCCTTCAAAATGTCATTAAGAAATATGTATGAGGGGCAACTCGGTGGCGCACTGGCCCTGGAGTCTGGAGGACCTGAGTTCAAATCCAAGCTCAGACACATAATACTCACTACCTGTGTGACTCTGGGCAAGTCACTTAACCCCAATTGCCTCACTAAAAAAAAAAAAAAAATCTATCAGTGGTTGACCTACAAGATGGAAAATGTACTTCCTAACCAGAATTTCTGTATGTAATAAGTTCATTGGGTGGGGACTGAAGTACAATTGTAGTATGGTAGGTGGTGAAGTAGATAGAGCACTGGACTGGGAATCAGGAAGACTCGTCTTCCTGAGTTCAAATCCAGCCTCAGACATTTACTAGCTGTATGACCTGGGCAAGTCACTTAACCCTGTCTGCCTCAGTTTCCTCATCTGTAAAATGAGCTGAAGAAGGAAACAGCAAAGCACGACAGTATCTATGCCAAGAAAACCCCGAATGGGGTCATAAGAGTCAGACATGACTGAAAAAAGAATGAACAACAATAGCACAAGTGTAACATGAGATCAACTATGACAATGATTTGAAAACTTAAAAGCACTCTTTTTTTTTTGGTTTAAACCTGTTATTTCATTAGCATGTAGAAATTTCATTCACAGATGCAGTTGAGCAACTTGTCCGTAACAGTCTTTGAGAGATGGTGAGGGCATTGAGAGATTAAGTAGTTTACCAGTGGGAACACAACTAGTTTGTGTCAGAAGCAGGATTTGAACCTAGGACTTCCTGACTCCAACGCCAGTCTTCTATTTACTATTAGGCTGCTCTCTTTATGTATTGCACTTCATGAAACTTAAAGCACCATATTTTTTAAAAATAAAAGTCTTCCTCAAGTTCAGGTCCCCATACTGCTTAGAACTGTGTGTGGTCTCCGATTGAAGATAATTGGCATGTGTGTAGATGTTGCAGGAGACATTGGAAGGCTCTTAGTGACTATGTAATATTCTGTAATTTGTACGTTGGGTCAGTCTTCTTGTGAAGAACTTAGACGCGGATGAAAATCAGATAGGATGAGAGGGGTGAATGCATTGTGAAGAACTTTTAGTCATGAGGTCATATGAGGGTAGATTGAGACTGGGAGTGTTAAAAACCCGGGGAACTCATGATAGCTGTCTTCAGGGATTTGAAGGGCTGTTATGTAAAGGGGACTACGTTTACTCTTACTTTATCAGGAGCAGTGAGTAAGATGTTGCAAAGAGGCAAAAATTAGGCCTGATATCAGGAAAAAATTCCTCAGAGAGGTGGAAGACTTGGGGTGCAGAATGAGATGTACGGTTTTTTGACATGGCCATTGTTTGACTTTGTTTGCTGATTGTTACTAGAATTTTTCTTTTCCTTTCTTTGGGGGAATGAGACTCAGAAGGAAACTCAGGAAAGGTCCCCCTACTCTCCACCCTTCAAAAAAGAGAAGAGAACAAAAAACAGGCCAGAAGGAATCACAGACAGGTAGGGCAGCTGTGAAAGTCATATGTTAGATTGATTATATACTTCAGAAGCAAAACAAGCTCTGTATAGTAATGATAGCTAGCAATTTAAAGTTTGCAAAGCACTTTGCATGGTATTTTGCTTGATCCTCACAACGACTGTGAAAAGTGTTGCTATTATCCTCCTAGTACAGAGGAAGAAACTGAGAATGAGAGGGGTTAAGTACTTTGCCCAGAGTCACGCAGCTAGCTCCTAAGTATTTGAGGGAGGATTTTTTGAACTCAGATCTTCCTGTCTCTAAGGCTAACACTTTCTTCACCGAACCACGTAGAGGCCGGTGTAATGGAGTTGGCCGCTGTAATGGCTTCCTTCTTCCTTAGATGAAGGTTGCAACCCTTCTGCAACTCAGACAATTGCTGTGGCCGTGAAAATCAATCATCTTGCCTCCAGGCAATCAGTCGATATTTATTAAGCACCTCCTATGAACCAAGCCCTGTTTTAAGTGCTGGGAATTCAAAAAGAGGCATAAGACAGCCCCAGCCTTCAAGGAGCTCACAGCCTTCTGGCAGAGAGAACTTGGAAACAAACATATACAAAGCAAGCCTTGTATAGGATAAATCTCTTTGAACATAGTTGGTTCTCAGCTGGGTCCTAAGAAAACAGATGTGTAGTCTATTGTTGTTTAGTCATTTTTAGTCCTGTTAGACTCTTCATGATCTCATTTGGGGTTTTGGGGAAAGATCCTGGAGTGGTTTGCCAATTCCTTCTCCAGCTCATTTTACAGATGAAGAAACAGAGGCAAACAGGCCAACAGTCACCCAGCTAGTAAGTGTCTAAGGCTAGATTTGAACTCAGGAAGATGAGTCTTCTTGACTCCAGGCCCAGCATCCTATCTACTACCCCATCTGGATGCCCTGTGTGTAGTCTAATACTAGACCCATATTTCTGCAGACCATCTCTAGTCATAACTAGATGAGGCTGAAAACTTTCTTATATGAACTTGTAGAAGTCACGCAGTCTTTTTAAAACAATGAAACTTTAGTAATAATTAAATTACAGAATCTTTATTTG